TAACTATACATTGGAGCACATGAACCCTTGCTTGTCTGGACAAATACTTAAAAAAATAAAATTGTTAGGATAAAAGTGACATGCATCTTTAATCTTGACAAATGCAACCTTAAAATGTGGTGACAACTTATGGCCCTACCAACATTGAGTGGGAGTGTAGAATCCCCTACAGTTCATCATTGATTTATTAATCATTTATTAATGTCTTTCCAATCCTATGGGAGAGAAATGACTTTCCATTGTTGTGTGAATTTCCATCATCCTGATTTCTGTGAAGCTGTGTTCACTTTTCATCTGTTTATTGGTCATTTGGCATCTTTTTCTGTGGATGGCCCACATAAATTATTTGACCGCTTTTCCTCTTGGATTATTTCCCTTTTAAAAAATCATTCTTTGGGGAGCCTGGGTGGGTCAGTCGGTTAAGCGTCCAACTTTGGTATAGGTCATGGTCTCGTGATTTGTGGGTTTGAGCCCTACATCGGGCTCTGTGCTGACAGCTCAGAGCCTGAGGTCTGTTTCAGATTCTGTGTCTCCTTCTCTCTCTGTCCTTCCCCACTCACGCTCTGTCTCTCTCTGTCTCAAAAATAAATAAACATTAAAATAAATAAATAAATAAATAAATGATCATTCTTTTATAGTTGCATTATTTATCATTTCTTTATCTTTTCAAAAAGGTTTCCCTTCAATGTTGTTTTATTTTACTTTGGTTTTGGTGCTTCTGTTGTACAAAAGGGTTTAGCTTGCATATCCTTTGTCTTTCCTTCATGGCTCCAGTTTTATATCTTGTTCTTCCCAAGCTTAGGATTATAAAAATATCATCCTATATTTTCTTTTAGTGCTTTTATCATTTTATGGCCTATGATTTTCCCTCTAATCCATTTGAAACTTATTGTCATTTATGATGAAAGACAGGAATTTAACTTAATTTTGTTCCAAATAGATAATTTATGGTCACCAATCTATGTAACTCCATTTATTGACTAAACTGATCTTTCTCCATTTAGAATATTCTTGTTATCATAAATCTTATCTATCTATTTATCTATATATAGTGGGTCCAATTGTGCACTCGATTCCATTGTTAACCACATTTCAATCATTTGAATGTGCACCATCTCTGTTACATTTACGTTCCATTTATTTACTTAATATTTTAGCATAACACATTTAAAAAGTTTTTTTAATGTTTATCTATTCTTGAGAGAGAGAGCAAGCAGGAGAGGGGCAGAGAGAGAGGGAGACACAGAATCTGAAGCAGGCTCCAGGCTCTGAGCTGTCAGCACAGAGCCCAACACGGGGCTCAAACTCAAGAACCGCAAGATCACGACCTGAGCCAGAGCTGAACGCCTAACTGACTGAACCACTCAGGCACCCCAAGCATAATACATTTTAAAATTAAATACCTACTTCTGCATCCTCCTAAGCACATGAAATCATAGGTTTAAAGTGTTTTCCAATAAACATTAAAATCAGTGTATAACTTTTGAAGTAAGAAATGTTTATTTATGTAGCATTTAAATTTTTTTTAATGTTTTATTTATTTCTGAGAGAGAGACAGAGTGAGCAGGGGAGAGTCAGAGAGAGAGGGAGATACAGAATCTGAAACAGGCTCCAGGCTCTGAGCTAGCTGTCGGCACAGAGCCCAACGCGGGGCTCGAACCCACGAACCATGAGATCATGCATGACCTGAGCCAAAGGTGGACACTTAACTGACTGAGCCACACAGGTGCCCCTATTTATGTAGCATTTAAAATCATCTCACAAACCACAAGTGGAATGCAGAGGCACTCTAGGGAAATGCTGTTGTTATTTTTCCCACCAATGGATTTGTCCATCCCTGTGACAAAACCTCATTGTAGCTTCATGGTATGTTTTGTTGTTGATGTCTTATTCTGAAATAATTTTAGACTCATAAGAAGTTGTAAAAATATGGGGCGCCTGACATGTCTGTCAATAATCATTCCTTCTTATTGCTGAGTAATATCCCATAGTATACCCATGCCCCAGTTTGCTTAACTATTCACCTGTTGAACAATATTTGGCTTTCCATTTGGGGACCATTATAAATAAAGCAGCTATGAACATTCTTGTATAGGTTTTGATATGAATCTAAGATTTTGTTTCTCTAGGATAAATGCCCAGGAGCATGGTCACTGGGTTTATGGTAAGTGTATGTTTAACTCTCTGAGAAACTTCCAGGTTATTTTGCAGAATAGCTGCACCATTTACATTCCCACTGGCAGTGTAGAAAGATCTACTTTCTCTGCATCCTCACCAGGCTTTGACACTCTTAGTACATTTATTTTAGCTATTCTAATATGTGTCTCTTGTGGTTTTAATTTGCCTTTCCCTAATGGCTAGCAATGATGAATATCTTTTCATATGCTTATTTTTATGGCAGGCAAGTTGCCTTTCTTATATGATCCCTGCCTTCCCTGACCCCAAGAGGAAGAGCTGACCTTGGCTGCTCCCTGAGGCAGAAATGCTTGTGCTAGCTCTTCCACAAAGAAGGAAGGGTGGGGGACATCTATGATTTGCCCTCAGTGTTCCAGAACACAGGCTTAGAGCTTCAGGTGGGCTCCAGAAGGTTCTCTGGGGAGAGGATGTAAAGCTGCCAGCACCATACAACACCCACCACCCTTCCTCCAGTCCACATCCCCCAAAACACTTCTAATAAAATCAGTGCCTTTGGATATAGAGTCACTTGGGTGTTGTGAGGGAAGTTATGAGACTGGTCCCACAATTGGAAATAATAGGATCTGAGCAAAGGGGACCCAGTTGATGGGGCTACAAATGTCACCCCACCTTTTCAGAATGGGAGAGGGAAAGCTTGAGTTGTCCCAAAAGGCCTTTGGTTCCCATCTCCACGCCAAGAGCTGAGCCCATGTCCGTCTGATGTGCTCTGCCCAGCACCCTCACAAGACCTGCCCAGTGTCGGAAGAGGGCATCCCCTGACCCAGACACACCTTATTCCCAGGGATCACTGAGCACAAAGATGCTTGAGAACCTCTGAGATCAGAGGCAGGACTTGCGAGCCAGGAGCCCATGAGCAGCTAACACATACCCTGGAGGAGTAAATGTCAGCTGGCAGGAGCCAGGAAGAACCATTCTTATAAATCATTTGGTGGCACATTTGTAGGGAGAGGGCTCAGGTTCATTCTCTAAAGCAGGGATTCTGAAAGTAGAATCTATCGTGGTAAGGCTCACAGGAGCTTGCCAGCAGACAGCAACATCCCAAATGCAGGTCCTTTCCTATGTCTTCCAGAGCACTGGATGAACCCATCCAGAAGATTCTATTTTTTTTTTTACCCATGACCAAAGGTCTCTTTGTTATAACCTATCCATTGAATCATTAAGTATTACTAAGAGGGTATTCATAAAGTAAAATAAGGTTGTTTATAGAGCTTACAGAACACCGTCGGTGTGACCTCGTGTAAGTTATTTAAAATGTGTTTCCCTATCTGTAAGATGGGGCGCCTGGGTGGCTCAGTTGGTTAAGTGTCCAACTTCAGGTCAGGTCATGATCTCACAGTTCGTGGGTTCAAGCCCCACATCAGGTTCTGTGCTGACAGCTCAGAGCCTGGAGCCTGTTTCACATTCTGTGTCTCCCTCTCTCTCTGCCCCTCCCTAGCTTGCACTCTGCTTCTCTCTGTCTGAAAAATAAATAAACATTAAAAAATTTTTTTTTAAAAAGATGGGACTAACAATAGTTCCAGCTACACTGAGACATTGGGAAGGTTCAAGTCCTTAAAACAGTGCCTGGCCCAGAGCAAACACGGCAGAGGTGTCCGACAACGACGGAAGCGAGCAGCCAGGCGGCCTGCTTCTGGCCATATTGCAGAATGCGTGCCTCCGGGAGAGGGTTCAAACTCCCTGCAACTATGGAGGGTTGCTCCATTACCTGTGTGTGATCGGCACCGGCTGCACTGATCAGGGCTGCCTTGAGTTGGTAGGTTTTCCCCCGACACTAATCTTTCTCCCTCGTGTAAACTATTGTTAGTCCAGCTTTATGGTCAGCAGTGTCATATGCCAGGAATGGTTTGCTAAATCCTATAGATTCTGATACTGCATATTTCCACATGCCAATTTTTGACACAAATAACAAATAACTAGATTTCCAGCCATCAGAGCATGTGGTTCAAACTTGTACCATCTTTGCCCCTATAGTTAAAGCTGATGTATTTGTATATAGCCCACCCTCTCCCAAATCATATCTTACTTTTGTTCAACACTTTTGTTGCCATTCCTCAGTTCTTTAGGTGGGAATATCTGGTGAACGTAGGCTGCAAGGTTTTTAAGTTCTCTTAAGTAGCCTCCAAAATTTTGGAGATCTTGTGCATGGATGGCATTGATTTAAGATCCAGAGGGGTGGCCCTACTGTTCAGGACAAGTACATGGGGAGTGGAAGAAATCTCCCCTCCACAAGGCACCCCAGCAGCTTGATGTAGTGGCAATGGTCCTTGGGCTCTCTCCTGGGGATCCCAGCTCCCCAGGCTGCCCTCCACCCCTCACCGGCTAGCCTCTTCGTGGACCCCAAGGGGGTCTGGGGACCAAGTGCCACCTGTGCACACACACCCAGCACAGGACCTGGCTCTGGACTCCTCCTCCAGTAAGCCTTACCTGCCTGATCATACCCAGTGCTAGCCCATCCTTTCCTCTACACGTGAGGACTTGGTATATCTCTTTCCATTTGTTCCTTTACTCTGCTGAGGAAACAGAATCCTGGCCGGGTCAGAGTGAATTCCTTCTGCCCAGGCTGTGGTGGTAGACTTGAAATTTGTAATGAGGCCCATCCACATACGTACACCCACTAGACACAATATACTGGATGCTTAAGGAAGCTAGGTCCAGAGAGGGTAAGCCACTTGCCAGAGGTCACAGAGCCAGGCCCCGGCTCAAAGAGCTCCCTGTTAGATCACACTGCCTCCTGTTAAGATGATTGTTGGTGACCTAAATCCTTAACTAGTGAACTAACCTGCCTCTTGTCATGGCCCCTGCAGACGCCAAAGGAACCATCCGGGAAATTGTTCTGCCTAAGGGTTTGGACCTGGACCGGCCCAAGAGGACCCGCACGTCCTTCACAGCTGAGCAGCTATACCGCCTGGAAATGGAGTTCCAGCGCTGCCAATATGTGGTGGGCCGAGAGCGCACTGAGCTGGCCCGCCAGCTGAACCTCTCCGAGACCCAGGTAAGAGCGCAGGACCAGGCCACCCTACCCCTGCCCTACAGCCTGGGAACTTCGTGGGGTATGAGGCCTGCAGGGTTTGAGGCTGCCTTTTGAGGACTTCAGACATGTATTAGGGAAAGGCTTAGAGTTACAGGTAAACCAGAACAATAAATATCATGCTGACAACAGAAAGCTGGCATATGCCAACAGGGGGCCTTCCAGATACGTCAGGCACCTTGGGTGGAACATGGAAAAAGGCCAGAGAAATAGGAAGGACGGGCACCCAGGATGCAGAGGGTGACTCAGGGGGGTGTTGGTGCGTGAGGGACCCTGCAGGAAAGGACGGCAAGGGGTTGGCTTGCTGGGAGCAAACATTCCAGGGAAGAGAAGAGACGCTACAAAATTGGACGGGGGACTTCTCATTCCCCCATCCTGGGCTTCTCCCCATCCTCCATACATGCCCCTCAGCCCACTGCAGCTCTTGCTGGAGAGAAGGGGTCTCAACACCTCCTTCACTCAGGAAGGCCTTCTCGTTTTAACAGTAATAAGCTTAACCCAAAGGAAAAAGTCTTGTAAAGTGAGCACCCACTGTGTGAGTGGAGGCACTTCAAGCCGGTCAGAGAGATCCATAATAACAACAATAATACTAACAAAACTTAGTACCCGCTGCGCCGAGGCTGCTCCAAGTGCTCTGCCTGCGGTGACTCCCCAGTGCCTCCCGACAACCTGCCGATGGAGCTGCCTGTACTATCCCGTTTTACAGAGGAGGAGACGTTGTGCCCAACGTCATACAAAGAATGCGCCCCAGAGCTAGGACTGGACAAGCAGTTGGCATCTTTATGCCACCTGTAAACTGGCAACCATCCTGGAGCCTATAAAGAATGACTCGAGCTCCTTAGTCGAGCAACAGCTCTAGTGGTTTAGCCTCAGGTATGAGGGAGCTCAGTTGATACATGTATTACAGACATGACCAAACCAGGGCTTACGTGGGGCAGAGGTGAGGAAGGAGAGTGAGCAGGTAGACAGTCTGGAAGGGTGCACTTCCCAGGGAAGGCTGCTGGCTGGGGGGGTGGGGCGGGGGGGGAGGTGGAGGACGGGGACATGGAGGGTCCCTGCAGTGCCTGCTGCAGTGCTTCCCTCGACACCCCCACCACAATTTAGTCAGGGCTGCCTGCTGTCCTGCAAGCCCAGGCCATCTCCATCTCCACCTGGACCTGTCGTCCGGCAGAGCCCCAAACAACCCAGCCGTGGCCTGGGCCAGCGGGCCCTCCATTCGCTACACTCAGTCAGGAGGCTGGAAAGCCAGGCTCTGCCAGACAGGGGGCTGCGGTGGCTGGGCCCGGCCAGAGCTCCCGGGGCGGGTGGGGGAGAGCATCTGGCTTAGAGTCACCCCTCAATATCTGCCCCTGCTTGTCCTAACTACCCTCTGCCTGGCCCAGTTTTGCCCGCACACTCTACCCTGAAACTTTGCTCTCCAAGGGCACCAGAGAGCGCAGGCCAGCAGCTCCTTCTCCACCCTCATCCTTCTCCTGTGCTGCCCCCTATATGCGCTACATTTACCTGCCCTTGGTCAGAGCCAAGCCCCTCCTCTTCCAGGAAGACTTCTTGACTTCATCCCAAGAGACCCTTCCATATATCTTGGTAAAGTGTGTGTGTGTGTGTGTGTGTGTGTGTGTGTGTGTGTGTGTTTGAGAGAGAGAGTGTGTGCGCACGCACCTGTGTGTGTGGTGGGCACCAACTAGCGCACACTTCCCAAGGACAAGAATGTGTCTGAAAGTCACATCCCCTCTTCAGGCCTCCATGAAGAGCTCAGCACACAACGGGCAAACAGGGAGCCCTCAGTGAATCCTCGACTTACTGATCTGCTTACCATTCCCCTTTCTTTTCCCCCAGGCTCCGGGGCCTTGCAGGTTATGTATGGTACAGGAAACTTCTGCTGAGACCTTCCTCTGTATGGGGCACTGCTCCAAGTACTTGATGCGTCCTAACTCATTTATTCCTCTCCCCACAACCTTATGGGATGGGAGTGAGGTCTTCTCCAGACAAGCTTCTGACACCAGATGTGTGGTGTTTCCTAACACCAACACCAACCAATTCTGCCTTTCTTGGTCACCAACTGGAAGTCAAACGATTCAATTCAGTTTTGACACTGGCTCCTGGAGTTAGCACAGGCACTATAGGTTACGGCTCAGTCTCACAGGACAGTCCCACATCAGATGCCAGTTGCACGTCCCTGGGGGCCACCTGTACTTGTGACTGGTAGCTAAAATATCGGGGGTTCCCCTATCCCCCTCCCCGGGCATGGCAATTTGTTGGAATGACTCACAGAACTCAGGAAAACACTTTACTTTCCTTTACACATTTACACACATTTTCTCCATACCCTTCCCCCACTCGTACTCTCTCTCCTTCTCAAAATTAAATAAATAAGTAAATATTTAAAAAATACCAGAATAGGCCTTTATTATTTCTGTGTTACAGAGAGGGAAAGTGAGGCATGAAGAAATTAAATAACATGCTCAAAATTTAAAGCAGGAACATTTGGGGCTGGCTGGCTCAGTGGGTGGAACATGTGACTCTTGATCTCAGGATTGTGAGTTCAAGCCCTGTGTTGGGTGTAGAGATTACTTAAAAATAAAAGCTTTAAAAAAAATAAAAATAGGGGCACCTTGGTGGCTCAGTCAGTTAAGTGTCCGACTTCAGCTCAGGTCATGATCTCACGGTTCTTGAGTTTGAGCCCTGTGTTGGGCTCTGTGCTGACAGCTCAGAGCCTGGAGCCTGCTTCAGATTCTGTGTTCCCCTCTCTCTCTGACCCTCCCCTGCCCACCCTGTCTTTCTCTCTCTCTCTCTCTCTCTCTCGAAATAAATAAAACATTTAAAAAAATAAAAAATAAAAATAAATCAGGCACTTTCATTAGCTCACTTAATCTTTATAAAAAGATGGCTTTATGGGTAATATTATCCCCATTTCAGGAAATTCAGAGAAGTTATTAACTTGCCCTTGGTTATATACCTAGAATTCTGTGGAATTCTCCATATATTCACCCATACCTTTGTTCAAAAATATTACTGAATATCTACTACATACCAGGTATTGTTCTAGGCACTGGGGATATATCAGAGAACAAAACAGGGCAGGCACCTAGCCTCAGGTAGCTTCCATTCTGCATGAGAAAGACAAGTAGCATTTATTTATTTTAATGTTTATTCATTTTTTGAGAGAGAGAGAGAGACAGAGTGCGAGTGAGGGATGGGCAGAGAGACGGAGACACAGAATCTGAAGCAGTCTCCAGGTTCTGAGCTGTCAGCACAGAGCCTGACATGGGGCTCGAAATCACCAACAGCAAGATCATGACATGAGACAAAGTCAGACACTTAACCAACTGAGCCACCCAGGCACCCCAGCAAATAGCATTTAAAAGAGTGATGCATATTATTTGAGGCATCACATAAAATGTTATATGACAGAGACTAGAAATCTTTTGCTGGGTCCTCAGGAAAGGAGATGAATGGCAGTGGGCTGAGGTGTGAAGGACAGGGAAGAGATGGCCAGAGGAAGAGCCAGAAGGAGAGGAGTCAAGACACAGGGTAACAACAGTGAAGACCTGGAGGCAGGAACTAGCAGAGAATATCCTGGAAGTGTCTGAAAGCCAGCGTGGCTAGAGTTGGAGGGTAATAGGGAAGGTAGGTGGGGCAGAGAGTGTAGTGTTTAGAGGTTGTGATGAGATGTTGAAGGGAGAGCAGCATGAGAGGACCGGCATTTTACAGAGCTCGCTCTGGCCACCATCTGGAGAATGGGGAATGGGTGGACCAGTTGAGGGCCGCTGCCATGTTGTCTTGGACTCTGAGTGACAGTGGAGGAGAGGAGTGAACTGATCTGAGATGTCCTCTAATTTGGAGGTAGGACTGTTAGGTCTTGCTCATCATGACTTATGTGCACAGGGCAAGGGAAAGAGAAGTGCTTTGGGCTCCAACTGGTGAATGATGGTCATTGATGCCATGTAACAGGTTGAGAAAAAGCTGAGGAGGAGCAGGAAGGTGGGAGAGGAATCTAGAGTTTTGTTTTGGATCGGTTCAGTTTGAGATCCAAGTGGTGATATGTGAGATATTTCTCTGGGGACTGGTGTTTCTCTGATTTCCCTAGGAGTCTTGGTCAGGGCTCTTTTGTGGGAAAGGATACGAGATTCCTTCAAGTGGGCTCAAATAATAGATGGACTACTAAGGGATAGAACAGGAGGCACAATCTTGTGAAAAGCCAAGAACAGGGGCCATGGCATAGCCAGGCCTGGTAGGGACTAGAAGCTGAAGGCCATTTTGGACCCCAGGCTTCCACATCACATGCAGCTCTCCCCCGGTGCTCCCCCAATTATGCCCCCCAACTGCTCTCCAGGTGACTGCTTCCCTCTCTCTGTCCACTTCTCTTCCTCCTGCCAGCATCTTTACCCCCTTCCTGGATATCAAGAGGGTCCTAGTTCAGGCAGAGAAAATGTGGGCTTACTCAGGATCCATTCTCACTCCCTATCTCTTCCGTAACCTCTATGTGCCCAGTTAAGTTGTCTGCACTTTTTTTTATGCTTATTCTTATTTTGAGAGAGGGTGGTAGAGAGAGAGTGAGAGAGTGGGGGAGGGACACCCAGAGAGAGAGAGAGCAAGAATCCCAAGCAGGCCCCACATTGTCAGTGCAGAGCTCCATGTGGGGCTCAAACTCACAAACAGTGAGATCATGACCTGAGCCGAAATCAAGAGTCAGCCAGACGCTTAACCGACTGAGCCACTCAGGTGCCCCAAGTTGTCTGCACTTCTAATGAGAATCCCCCTTATAGGACCTGGTGGGCAGAACCGTGAAGCCTTCCCTTACCACCCCTTACGGAGTTCTGCAGGCTGAAGTGTCCTTCAGATATAGGGACAGTGACCCAGCCAGAACACAACTGATCTCTGGGCTGGGCCTTGCTCAGACCCTGAGGCTGTGCATTGAAGGGAGGCCCTGGAGAGCAAGAAAGGGGTCTCAGAGGGATCTAGTTCTCGGACACACGAGAGTAACTCCCACCCCACCCCAGAGTGGCATGTGCTCTTCTCCATTTCTGAGAACAAGGATGGTCCCACTTAGTCTAGTTCTCTTTGTTCTTAGAACCCCCTGATACACTTTGCCACCATGCTTTGTTTCAAGGAAAACATGTGGTGCTTAGTTAAAGCAGTGTTTCTCAAAGTATGGTCTGCAGACAACCTAGCAGTAGGACCCCTGGGTTCTCATTAAAATACAGATTCTGGCTCAGATTCCATGCTCAGCCCTCAGGCTCAAGTCAGAGTTTCTAGGGAAGACCTGACAACCTCTACATTAACTCTATAATCGTAGGCCAGATTGACCACATCGACCACATTGCTTGAAAGACTTCGGTGTCCGCAGGCACTTTACTAAATCCCTGATTACTAGCTCATTGAGTGATTATAGCAAGCCTATGAGGAGGCATTATCACAATCCCCATTTTACAGATAAGGAAACTGAGGTACAGAAAGGCTAAGGAACTTGCCCCATCCCATTCCAACTAATTAAGGGGAGAACCACAATGGACTCCAGGTCTGTCCGACCGCAGGGTCGTCTCCACTCTCTTGTTTGCTACTTCTCCCCAAACATTTACTGCCTTGCAACACTTGCTGACCTGTCCCCTACACTGGTGTCTGAGAGCTATGTGTGTGGAGGCAGAGTGTTATGTATTCCTGGTTTCGTGGCACCTGGCAGTGCTGACACCTATTGGACGCTTGCTGTTCACATGTCGTATGAATGAATGAGCACAGTCAGAGCAGGAAACAAGAAAAGAAGATGTGCTGTTGAGGAAGGGAAGGGGGAAGGCTGGCCCCAGGACTCCCCTCACTCTGCTGGCATGAGGGACTTTTTTAAGGCCAGGCTCCCAGGCTCTAGGCTGAGGACAGACTGCCAAATCCCAGTAGGGCCAGCGTCACCACTTGGCTTGGATAAGAGCAGCTCTGGCGCTTCAGCAATTGTCCCCAGCCCCTTACCCATCACCTCTGCCCCAAGATGGCTTCTTCCAGAACAGCGGAATAGAAGGTGCTACCTTCCAGATTACAAAAACCAGGACCATCCCAGACACACAAGTGCCATTCGTAGGAACATGCCCACAGTCACAGGAAGCAGCCTCTTAGAGATCCGTGCCATTTCCAGATCAACAGCGAGGCTTGGGATTTAACACCAACTATGAGCCCAAAGAGGGTGATGGATGATCTCCCAGAAAATACCTCCCTAGTCCTGGCAGCCAGCTGGAAACCAGCCCCCACCCCCCTGCCGGTGTGCAGCCATGGCTCATGGTGTGGTCCGGCAAGGGCTTAGGGGGTGAAGGCACCAAGCATTCACTGAGTTCCAGGGGAACCAGGAGAGGGAGCAGGTAAGACACAGCCCACAGGGAGACCACCGCAGGGCACCAGAAAGACAAGGGGAGGCCAATGCCTCAGGAAGTGTACTTCTGGACAGGACCCCAGCCTATCCAGCTTGCAGCTGAACTGGGCCTTGAAGGACCTGTAGCCAGATTCAACCGTGAGAGAAGGTGAGCCCTGTGGTGGAACTGAAAGCTTCCTGGAGAAGAGGAGGGATGAGAGTGCCTCTCAGTTTGTCCCTTGTGTGCTGAGTCTTATGAATCAGCCCTTTAGGGACAGTGGGACTGATGATAGGAGGTAGACGGGCAGGATGCTCTCCCCCACCTTTGCAGCTCCAGCACCTCCCACCACAGTTTACACATTAGAATCGCACACAGAACTTTAAAAAAAAAATATATGGATACCTAGGCCCCACCCCCTAGAGAGGTAGCGAGTCAGAATGGGGCATGGCTATCGGGATTTTGAAAAACATGACTCCAGGTGATTCTTAAATGCAGCCTGGATTGACAACCCCCAATGTAGCCCATTAGGGCCCAAGAAATGGGCCTGGCGGGTCCCAGCCCCTGCCTCGTTTCCTCTCCAGGAGCCTCCTCCGCTCAGGGCCAGCCGCATCCACCTCTCCTTGTGCCCCTGGATCTGCAGAAGGACAAGACACCTTGCAAAAGCTTTGTCATTCCTTATTAGCCACACTCTTGTCACTGCCATTCCCCTTGTTGCTGGAAGCAGGTTAATGCCACCATCCCACTGGACCCTCAGCTTCCCCAGGACAGGAATCATGACTTCTGGATCTGTTCTTTCCCACTAGTTCAGAGCTAGCAACAGTGAAGGGGCCAATAAATGATGACTTGAATTCAGGGCAGGCCAGGCACCATGTGAGACTCTCTACCTGGACTTCCTTATCTGATCCCTACAAGAGCCCAAGTATTTTTGTCCCCATGTTTGAGATGAGAAACTGAGGCTGGTGGGTTCTTGGGGTGGTGCCTAAGTCCTAAAAGGGTGGCTGCTGGCCAGGGCAGAGAAGCCAGGGGGCTTCCCAGCAGGGGAGGGCCACAAGCAGAGCCATCTACGCCGCCCCCCCCCCATCTGGTGGGAGGAGCAGTTCTGGGAATGACAAACAAAGGGTTTTCTTTCTAATCGCTTCCTTCAACCATATTTGGCCAAATATCCCTTGGCCTTCCCTTACTGCCATCTCCTTCAAATGTCACCTCTTCAAAGAAGCTGTTTGCCACCCATTAATAAGCTAGTCCCCTCCCCTGTCTCTCTCCCTTTATCCTGCACCCTTTTTCCAAACCAGCGCCCTTCAAAGTGTGTTTCTTGGGCTGCTGTACTCCCCTTCCGCCCCCAGAAAACTCTTAACTGTCCAGGACAGGTTAAGTGCAGAAATGAGAATAAGTGTAATTTGTTTTCATTGTATTTGATGAAAACTTTGGTCCACAACAGACTGGAAAACTTTAAAAAGTGGTTCCTCAGCACAAATTATTTGAGAGGTGCTGCTCACAGCACTCAGTGCCACGTGACAGTCACAGCGATTTGTTTTCATTTTCCGTGTGTCATCTGCCTCCGTCTCTGAGCTGTCTCCTACACGCCAAGGATTTGCTCTGCTCTGTCACTGCTGATTCCCTGAGTCTAGAGCAGCACCCAGCAGGTAGCAGGCACTCAGCACATATCCGCAGAATGAATGATTCGGTGAATAAATGAAGTACTCAGTCACAAATAGATCCTGTAACTTTCCATTATTGAAACTCAGTCTAATACCATTTAAAACACCAAACTCACACCTGTTTCAAATCTCCTCTTCCTCTCCTTCCCTACTCAGAACAGGTCTGACTCACCCTGGAGGCAGTAGTTAATCCTAAGGGTAGTGCCATGAGGCATTGCCCCAGGCAGCCTTCACTCTGCCCTCATCCTCACCTAGACTCCCACTTAGCCTCCTCCTCCTCCTCGCCTCGGGCCTCCTTCGCCAAAGCCCTGGGACTTGCCGGCCTCCCTCACCCCCTCCCAGAGAGGGAGGCAACCAGCGAGGCCTCCCCATCCTTTTCTTTGCATGCCCTCCCCTCTGTGGTCCCCACTTGTCCTGCTGGCACACACTGCCCCAGCCAGCTGCCAGCTTCTGGAAACTTCTAGGCCAGAGGCAAGGCCAGCCTCTGTGCTCCTGGGACACAAGTCTGGGTGCAGCAGTGGTGGGTCTAGGATGCGGTGGTTTGACGAGTGTTCCAGCTGGGGAACGAGGGTCAGACTCTCCTCTCAGGCACTTGCAGTCCCTCCACACGGTCTTTCAGAGCTTGCTGCTTGCCTTCCGTGAGTGCAGCACCCTGTCCTTCTCATGGTGGGGAGGACATCCCGGCACCATGCGGGATGGCCACTGAGCCTGGCTCCCAGCCTCCGATTCTTTCCATTGACTGGGGCTGGGCTTGGAGCGCCAGGTGCTGGTGGCCGGCGGGTTCTGTGTTGTCTCATAGACCTTGGAAAGGGGGCTCTGTCTGCCCTTGTGTTGATGGTCCATTTGTTGCTGGCATCTCCTTGTCCTCAGGTTTGAGTGTGTGGCCATTGGAAGTCCCCCTCAACATCCTGCTGTGTCCTGTCACGCTTGGTGTCATATTAAGAAGCCTGGCCTTTGTACGTGGGAGGTGACTGCGGAAAGGTTCAAACTCACTGGCCCCCGCCCTGGGCCCCAGGCTTTAGAGGGCCTCGCTTCTGCTCTTCTCGAGTCATGTCCCTCCCTCTGGTGGTGGGCACGCTGCAAGGCCAAGGGATGTTGCCCAACCGGGGTCTCTCCACCTTCTCCCCACCAGGGATCTGCCCACCTTCTAGACACATCCCATGACCATGATCTGGAGGGCTAGGGTCCCTTACTGGCTCACCCAGAGCAGGCTGGTGTGGGGAGACCTTAATGACACTCTGAATGCTCTTCTTCCCCCTTTCACTCCACCCTGACCCCCCCACTCTCCGTCCCCTTGCCCTCCATGCCCTTCCTCTCCTTTTCTCCTCCCACCTGCCCCCACTTTGCGTTGCCTGTCCCCTCTCCCTTCCCGACGCCCCTCCCTATCTTCCACCCCAAGGTGAAGGTCTGGTTCCAGAACCGCCGCACCAAGCAGAAGAAAGACCAGAGCAGAGACCTGGAGAAGCAGGCGTCCTCCTCAGCCTCCGAGGCCTTTGCCACCTCCAACATCCTGCGGCTGCTGGAGCAGGGCCGGCTGCTGTCCGTGCCTCGGGCCCCCGGCCTCCTGGCGCTGACCCCTGGCCCACTGGGCCTGCCTGCCGGCCACAGGGCCACCTCACTGGGTGACCCCAGGAACTCCTCCCCGTGCCTCAACCCACTGACCTCGGCCTCGACATCCCCGCCCCTGCCACCCCCTCCGCCGGCCCTCTGCTTTTCCACTGCTCCGCTCCTGGACCTGTCTGCCTGCTATGAACTGGGCTCCTCAGCCTTCGCGCCCTACAGCAGGCTAGAACGGAGAGTAGGCAGCCCCGGCGGCAGCGGTGGAGACAAGAAAGCCAACATTTAAGCCTCCACCTCCCTGTGACACTGAGTCCCCAAGCCCAGCACCAGCCCTGCCTCCCCTGCCCCATGGACTGCCCTGAGCGGGCTCCCAGAGAGACGGGCAGCCCTACATCCGGCCCCACCTGCCACCCAGCTCAGAGACTGTTGACCAGAAGGCCTTGGTCCCACAGCTTGTGTGCGCGCGAGTGCAGTGTGCGTGCGTGTGCCTCTCACTGAAATAAAAGGAAAACAATGACAAGAAGGGAAACAGAGTCCCCACAGCACCCCACCACTGCCCCTCAATCCCCTCTCTCCCTCTCCTCACTGGGAAGGAAAGTGAGCTGAGCCAGGGGACCTCTACTGGGAGGGGGCAAAAACTGGAGCTGTGTTCACAGTTAAGGGGGGGGGATGAGATACCACACGGTGGATTGACAGGCACCTCACCCAGCCTCTGCCTGGGCATTGAAAATCCCACACTAGCAATATGGACGCTTTTGCTGGTTAAGCATTCCTCTTTGCAAGCTCCTCTTCGAAACATACATATATTTGAGAAGTAGAAATGTCAAATCCTTCAAAAGGGTAGACAATGAGGGGCGCCTGGGCAGCTCAGTCAGGTAGGCCATTAAGTGACTCTTGGTTTTGGCTCAGGTCATGATCTCATGGTTCAAAAGACCCAGCCCCACATTGAGTACCCACCCCTTACCCCAACAGCATGGAGCCTGGCTACGATTCTCTCTCTCTCTCTCTCTCTCTCTCTCTCTCTCTTTCTCTCTGCCCCTCCCTGGGCTTGCTTGCATTCTCTTTCTCTCTCTCTCTCTCTCTAAGTAAGTAAATAAACTTAAAAAAAAATAAGAAAGGAGGGTAAACAATGAAAGGTGAGATCAGGATCTGGAAGAGAGCCAGAGAGAGGGTATAAGAGGTAAATCCAGGCAAGATCCCACATGCCTTAGAGGGTGCACTCATCACAATCCCCACAACACAGAGCACTTTTTAAAAAGTGTTTTCTACTCCCTCAAGTAAGCCACTTGTATTTCACTTTTAGTTTTGCAATGACTGTGGATTTACGGGAGGTTGCAAAGATACTTTAGAGAATTCCTTGTACCCTCCACCCAATTTCCCCCAATGGTTACATCTTCCGTAACCAAAGTGTAATATCAAAACCAGGAAATTGACATCGGTGCCGTGTGTGTGTGTGCGTGTGTGTGTGTGTGTGTAGTTCCCTGTCATTTTGGCACTCGTGTAAGATTTGTGGAACCAGCACTGTAATCAAGGTGTAGCCCTGTCGATTACCACACAGCTCTCCCCTTCATAGTCACCCCTGACCCACGAGACTTCTTTGAAAGAATGGAAATGGTGAGAGAGGGCCCAGGGACCAGAGTGGGTCCTCGGGCCAGAGGACAGAGGCGAGATTTAACTCCGTGGGGGAAAAAAGACAAGCACAGTCTGTTCCAGTCTGCTTGGAAATGTGTGTTTGGTTTCAGATCTGCTGTCCTTAGTCACCCAGACAGGGGTCCCTGACAACTGTGCTTCCCCCCTTCCCTCTGCACTGGCAGTATAGTTCGGGGACATCCTGAGTCTAGAATAAAACATGGGGGTGACCAGGGCAGACCTTGGATTCAGTGAGTCCAGCCACCCCGTGGTGTCTCCCTTGCCTCGTCCAGCAGACCTGTGCCACACACAACTCCTCTAGCCACTCAACACAAAGAGGGTTTCTCCATTTGTACCTTCCATTCTGGGCTCAAAAATGTCAGGACAGACCTGCCGCATGAGACCCTAGAGGTGAAATATAAAAGGTAAGACAGAGTCCTATGACCAGATGGAGAGACACCTGCCCTGCTTCCCTGGAGCTCTCAATATTGTGGGAGAGAAAGGCTTAAAGAGACCCAAGTCTGATGGAGGAGACACACTTAGTTTTTTGGGGGCTCAGAGCCTAGCAGCAGTGACAAGAGAAAATTCTCCAGAAGGGCATGACAAAGGAAAGACGCCACGTATGTGGTGAATCGAGAGTGCTGGGAAGGCTTCCTGTAGGAGGTGGCACTGAACCTGGCACAAGAATGTTCCTCTATAGATGTTCCAAAAAAAAGTGATGATCTAATTGTGCAGTGGAAGAAGTATCTTAAGTATGGTCAGGGCAAGGGGTACAGGGTAAGGGCAGGTCAGGGGACTGGGGGTGGGTGGGTAGTAAGGACAAGATGTGGGGAGACCGGGATGACATGTGGCATGGGGCAAGGGCCTGTGAGAGCTCCTGAGGTTTCAGGGGGAGGAGCCGAGTTCATACCAGCACCTCCCAGATCTGGAAAAGCTCCAGGGCTAGAGGCTGGTTTCCCTGTTTACAGTCAACTCTTGCAGGAGAGGAGGGGTGAGGGGAGGGGTGGCCGCTGGGTCTGCTCACTCCAGCTCCAGCTGGGCCCGAAGTGTTGCACTCGCCACCAGTAGGCTCAGGCACTCAGCTCCCAGCCTGCCGCCTCACCATGGCCACGAAGGCAGACGGTAGGCCCGGGGGGCTCCCCGGCGGTGGCTGTGACCTGGACATAGCCCAAGAGCACATGCAAGCGGTCACCCGAAACTATATCACCCACCCCCGTATCAGTGAGTACAAACCCCCGGAGGGTGAGGTTGGGGTGGGCTGCTGGGTCCCCAGGCTCTGCTTCTTAGGCTCAGGAAAAGAGGAGGACTGAGACTGAGGAAGACCAAGGGGGCTCTTGGTGCAGCAGAGCGACGTGGTGGACTGTTAGGACAAGGAGCCACCTCTGCATGTGGAGGGATGGGGTCCCCACCCCAGGCTACCCCAGAGGAGAGGGCAGGGGTGTCCTGGCAGGAACCTCTTGGTCATCACCCTTATCCTGCACTGAGACCCCGAGTCCAGAGAGAGCTCCCAACTGCCCAAGAGTGTGTGTTTGTGTTACAGGCTCCTGTGTGAATACGTGTGTTTGGAGTGTGTGCACGTGTACCAGAACATTTAGCAGGAGCAAATGTATGATCAAGTGTTCTTAGGGTATGTGTGTGGCATGGCAAAGTATGTGTGCATTTTCAGGATGAGGAAATATGTGACACTGTGTGTGTCATGTCAATGGGCACATGTCATGCGTGCCTTCCAGGCGTCTGTGTGTATAACTTGGGTGAGGATATGTGTAAATATGTGTGTGACAGCTCGAATGAGTGTATGATCAGAGTGAGGAAATGTGCGACAGTGTATGTGGATGCTTTTACACTCAGACTGAGGGTGAATGCGTGTGTATGTACGCTCAGGGGGAGACCTGGCTATATGGTCAGTGTATGTACCATATAGTTGGGGGAGGGGGAGTGCCTGGCTTGGCCATGGGTGCTGGAGTAGTTACCCTTGTAGGCTTTCTAGGTGTGCCTAGATGCCAGGGGCACAGAAAGCTGTAGGGCTCTAAGGACCAAAGGGAGTGCCCCCTCCATCTGTCCTTGCCAAGGTCATTCTCCAAGTCTCGAATTCTCAGGGAGCCCCGCTCACTGGAGTAAACCGGCCTGGCCAGCACCAGCCCAGCAGAGCCAGAGGCTCCTAACGGGGTGTGTATGGGGAGGAGCCGGCCCTCTCTAGTTACCTGGGCCCGAGTGGGAGGAGTGGCCTGACCAGCAGCTGCCAGCTGCTAGCTAGGTCTGCATTGAATGGAGCTGGCACCCACCCAGGACAGAGCAAGTACAGAGGGGGCAGGCCCAGCGTGCTTAGGAGCATGGAGGAGGGGGAGGCACCTCCAGACGCCTGAGGCAGGCACTGAGGGGTGGAGTACATTCCAGCAAGGAGAAACTGAGTGAGGCCGGAGGTATCAAGGAGGCCCGGCAGGCCCCGCAGGCCATGGAGGTATGGGGGGGGGAAGGCAGAGTTCCAGATTCTCCTCTGGGGCAAAGCAGGGGTCATGGAGGCCCAGAACTTCGCAGTGACTAGAGCCCCCTTGAGCCCAGAGCCCAGGCCTGGAGACCTGAGCCGAGTTGCGTTGAGTTGTCTGACTCCCATCCAGATCCAAGTGATGGCCCACCCCTGCAGGCCCCCCCTCCCATCACTCCCTGCAGTGTGCCCTGCCAGGGACTCTGTGGTGCAGCCTCACCCCAGGGCCTCCTCCAGCCACTTCGTTCCAGCCAGGGCCTTATTTAGAGTCAACAAGCCCTGGAGATTTGGCCCCAGGCTGGAACCCAGGGTTGTCAGCGCCCCCGTGCTTGCTTGTGTGTCACTCCATGTGGCCCCCACCCAGGTGAATGTGTCACATCCAGCAGCTGACCCAGAGACCAGGGTCTGCAGAGGGGGAGCCCCCCCACCCCCACTCTGCACCCTGTGTTAAAGATGTTCCTGCAGTGACGAAGGCTGCCTACCACCTTTACCTCTGCTGCATACCAGTGTCCTCACAGGGCCAGCCCCAGCCCTCGGAGCAGACTGAGTTCTTCAGGGTGCTTCTGTACCCACGGCTTTCTCATTCCCACCTTCCTCCTCTGGGGCCTGAGGGGTGTCCTCTCTGAGGAGTGAGGATGGTGGGTGGGGGCGGGGGGGCGGGCCAGGCAGAGGGACCAAAACCTAAAGCTGCCGCCCTCAGTTTATTGGAGGCAGGACTCCTGTGCCTGTCTCTGCCCTCCTCCTCCAGCCGGGCCTCCTACCTGAGCACTCTATGCGCTTCTGGGCAGAACTTGATGGAGAGACAGAAAGAGCCCAGGAGGAGAGCTGTGAATCCCAGGGGGACAGGAGATGGGGCAGCTGGCTCCCAACCCCAGGGCTTCCTCAGCCATAGATGGGGTAAGTCCAATAGAAGGCTTCCTGGAGGAGGAAGTAAACCAAACAGGCCTGAGGCATTAAGTGTGATTTCACTGCAGTGGCTGAGGGAATGGGCCAGAAAGGAGGGGGCAGGGTAGAATAAGATGGGGAGTGAACCCCAGCAATAGCCACCCTGGGCAAGAAGGGACTCCTTTGCCTCCCTCAGAAGTAGAACACTTTCCCTGGAGCTTCGTGTATTGTATGGGACAGAAGATGCTAGGTGGGGTTGGAGGGAAGGGGGGAAGGGGGCAGGGCACAGCCTGAGCAACCGATGGATGACAGGTTGTCAGCCCCGCTGCGGGGAGAAGGCCAGGTCAGATGATTACTGAGAGGCTGGAATGCCAAACCACTGGCTTTGCCGCCTGCCTCAGTTTCCTCAACTGAAAGGCCAGGAAGGTCACACTGAGGGAGTTCTACCCGGCAGGGTCTTGGGCTGATTCTAAGAAGCCTGGTCTTCCAGCCCCTGCCCTCCCTCCCCTAATCCCTCCGGAGGGGATCAGGGAGGAGGTGCAGAACCTACTGCCCCGGGCTTGCCCCCACCCCCGCCTCACGCATGGGCGCCTGCCTCAGCCGGCTCCCAGGACGCTGCAGGTGTGGCTGGGCAGGCCCTAATTAGTGGGCTGCATGGAGCCCCGCTGAGCCTTTGACCAGGAAGGCAGTGGGGAGATGGGGGCAGGGAGGGGCTCCAGGCCTGCCGCCCTAAGTGCAACCCAAAGTGTCAGCTGGGACAATGGAGAAGGGGAGGGGGAAGAGCAGAGGGAGGGAGTGTCTGCAAAGTCTCAGGAAGGCCTATTGAAGGAGTGCCCCTCAGAGGTCTTCTGGGCCAGCCCACTGCCTCCAGCGCTCCCCCCACCTTTTGCCTCGCTGGGGCTGGAGGGTGCATCCCATGGCTGGGGGAGAGCCACAGGATGCAGATTGATTTGTGGTGTGCCCCAGGAGAAATCGGCCAACTTCCGGGCCTTCATTTGCCACTGCGCGCAATGGACACCATAGGTTGGGGTTGGATGCAAACAAAAGGCCTGGCTTCTTGTCAAGGACAACTTTGTTGCTTAGCCACCACCTTGGCCGTGTCCAAACCTCTAAGAAAAGATACGGTCGAGTCTGACCGGGGAGGCACAGAGCTCTAGTCTGAGGGGAGAGACATGATATATCCCCATTAAGGACTGACAAGCTAGAGAACAGGACAGCCTCTACAGTGGCGTCGCTGAGGGCTGTGGCACTTCAGCGGGGAGCAGAGCCAGTGGGCTGCAGGAGTCAGTTAAGAGCGGGGCATGGAAGGATGTGACAAGTCAAGGGATGAGCAGAAACAGCCACAGTCGATTATCTGCAGTGAAAGGGCCAGGCTGGGGAGCTAAGGACTCCTCTAGCAAGCATTTGGGAAGCCTGCTAGAGCTGGGCCCTATGGCTCTGGGAATGCAGAAAGGCGGCTTACAGCTGACGCTGGTGCCATAAGATAGAAGCTTCAGACCACAAGCTGGGCACCCAGCCCAAGGGTCTGGCCAGCAAGCAGCACTTGTCCCGGCCCCTAGGCTTCTCCCGGCCACTCACCACTGCCCTCCCCAAGGTAGAGATGTTGGATGTCCAGGTTAAGAGACTTCCCTTGACAGAAGCTGTGAAATATGGGGAGCCTGCTGTGAAGGAAGAGAGGAAGTTGAAAGACCTGTCTTCTAGCCAGAACTGGAAAGAGTTCCCTGGGGCTTTCTGGACCTTGGGCTCCTTCCCCTCCCACACTCCCACCTCCCCCCCTCCCCCCCCCAGCCCACCCACTCTGCATCTTGTTTCTGCCATCTCAGCCCTTTTGGCTGGTCTGGTATTTTCTCCTTAGGGCCAGCAAGAGGCTCATCCCAGGGCTTTTTAAAATGATCCACTGTACCTGGTCCCTTGGGGTGGCCTAGAGACAAGCAAGGCTGGAGAGCGCAAGGAGTGGGTGGAAGGTGGGCAAAGGAAATCAGCAATGGAGCCGGACTTGCCAGAAGTGGGGCTGTGAAGGGCAGCAGCTTTGGAAGGACTAGGGCTGAAGGAGTGGTTTTTTAAGATGGGAGGCCCAGAGATGGAGGCACTGGCCCTCTGCCCCCGGGGAGCAGGCATCTCTGGGGCCTGGGCCTCAGGACCAGGAGAGGCTGGCCTAAGAGGGAAGGTTGGATGCCTCCTCTGTGGGAACCCAGAGGAAGCTGAAGGAGTTCCCCTGCTCCGGGTCCAAGCCTTAGAAGAACGGGCCTTCTGGTGCCCTCTTGTTCTTGAGTTTCCCTAATAGTCCACAGGCTCAGAAGAGCCTTGCAAATATCCCTGCAAGGATCACCTTGCCCAGCCATCATCCTAGCTCATGCCCTGGTGAAAGAAACGCAGTTCAGACAAAAACAAGGGGTTTGACCCCTGAGCCCCAGATGGGGGAAGGCGCGAGCTGGGGCCATTTCCTTGGTGTGGGGTGACTTGGCACCAGGCTTGTAGGGAAGCACGAGGGCAAGTGGCCGGGAGCTAATGCAGTTTGATGGGAAGCATGAGGTGGGGTCCCAGCCCCAGCTCTGCCACAAGCATGTTGGGTGACCCTGGGATAGGTTTTTCACCCTCTGGACTCCATTCACCTCCCCTTTTGAAAAGAGTCTTAGACCAATCTCTCCCCTCTGATGTCCTTCCAGCCTGTGAGTGACTCTGTGACCTCATGGACACCCTGGCCATCCTGCTGTGCCACAGTCTCTCTGGTCTCCTGGTGCTTCACAGGGACCCCAGGGAAGAGCTATGTCTCCCAGGTTATAGGTGAGGGAGAGTACCAGGGTCTCTCAGCCAGCCCCTAGCAGAACCAAGATAGGCTTCCTGTCTGCCAGTCCCTGGCTTTCTTATTGGGGTCCCCAACACTGGAGTTTGGGGCTCCCTGACACTGGAGTTAGAGGCTCCCTGTAAACTGAGCTCATTTCCCCATTTGTGGGTCTCTCCAGCCACTAGGGCTGTGACATTCTGTTTCTTCCTCTGTCCTTGTCACTCTCTCCCCTCTCCCACAGGGACCCAGGGAGCCCAGGTTGTCCAGGCAGGGACTCTGGCTCTTTTTTGTCACCCATGCATGCACCAGCCCATACCCCTCACACAGGCACACAATCGCACATGCACCGTGCTCAGTCAGTGTTGGGTCATGGAAGGAAGTGTGGTCCTGGTGGGGGGCAGGGAGGGCAGTTATCTACCCATCTCTAGCTGGGGGCCAGAAGCTTTTGGAACATGTTGTGGGTCAAAGATGTAAGATGGGGGCTGAGGCCAGAGGGGAAGCAGCCTCAAGATAAGAAAGACCTCTTCGTGGCTGAGAGGAGAGGGGAGGACTCGGAGGGGCCTCTGCCCTTGCCCTGGCCCTCCCCCCAGCCTCCTGCAGGTGTCCAAGCCAGCAGGGGGCCCTGCGGGCAGGGGCATGACCCTTACAGCAATGGTGGCTGGCCCTGTCACAGCTAATGACCCTGACAGCCCAGACTGGGAAGGGGGTGGGGGTGGTGCAGACAGGGAGAGAAATCAGAAGATGTGTGTGTGTGTGTGTGTGTGTATGTGTGTGTGTGTGTGTGTGTGTGTGTGTGTCTGGGTGTGAGACCCTCACCTACCTCTACCTCTCCCCCAGCCTACAGGACTGTATGCAGCGTCAATGGGCCCTTGGTGGTGCTGGACCAGGTCAAGGTAAGATTCTTCCACCTCTTCCCAGGCACCAAGGCCAAATCCCAGGGCTCCCCAGCCCCTGTGCAGGATCTCTTCTAAATTGCCCTGCTTCTAGCTGTCCCCCATGGGCCCATCTGTCCCTTCTAATTCTCTGTCACCTATCCCCACACTCTTCCTCCCCAGCTGTCTCCCCCACCACCCTGGGTTTCCCTTCTTGCCTTTTCAGTGTCCCCCTCTGCCCACTCTGGGCCCTCAGAAACCACTCTTACTGCCAAGGGCCTGGGGGATCTGGGCTAGTGTGCCTCTTTCTACATGGGTGGAATGGTTGTACTGAGCTTCCTCACAAAGCCGGACTCTTCCACCTGCTGCTCTCATGGGTCTTCTTTTAAAAGGAAGGGAAGGCAGAAGAGCAATGCCAGCTACCTTTCCTCCAGAGCTCAAGGTTTTCAGAGGCTTTTGTACTATCTCAGCCTGGGAACCAGCAGCATGGGTGGGAAGTGAAGCGGGTTTCATGGAAGGAGATGGGAAGGGGGAGCCTTTTGCATCCCCTGGGGCACTACAGGACCAGGGCAGAGACTGACTGCATTTTGAGTTTGAGGTTGGGAATTCTTAAGGCATAAGGGGCTCTGCAAAGGTGCCAGATCTGTCCCCTTCCACCAAACAGTCCCACCCCTCAGTCTCCCGCCCAGCAGCACCCACCCCAGACTGGAAAGCTGGTGCCACCCTTGATTCCTCCCTTCCTGGACCCCATGTGCCAGTATCAGTGATCTGCCTCCTCCCCACTCTCCCCGATTATGGCCATGGCCTCTGGACCTCCAGCCTGGTGCCCTCCCATCCTCCAAGCTGCCCCCCTGCAGCGCTGACCCCTTTTCTCCCCTGCTTCAAACTCACCTGGCACTCCCAGCACCTTCACCTTACAGGCCCCGCATTCTGTAAGGGTCCCTGCACACCTTCCACTCTCATGCCGCATCCCGTCCTCCCTCCCCACCCTGCCTCTGCCTGGAGCTGCCATTTGATGTCTCTAGGCCTTTGCTCCTACTTTTCCCTCTGCCTCTCCAACTACCCTTCCTCCATACCCTTCCTTCCTCTGACTCATCCCCAGGGCTAGCTGAGAGGTCACTTCTCCTGGAAGTTTCGCCCAGGCCCCTGGTCAATGAGCCTGTCCCTCCTCTGTACTGTCTTGTTGGCAGCATCCATCAAGGCATCGCGTCGCCACCTGGCCACATGTCTCCTCCCTGCCCCCACAATGTCTCTCCTATCGGACATTACTCTTGAGCCCCCCGAGCCCCATGCTGCACTTTTACTGAAGACCAGTCCATTGTAGGTGCTCAGTTTGTTTGGAGGAAAGGTGAATAAGTGAATGAGATGCACGAATGAGTGTTAGAATGACTAAATCAGACCCTCTCATTTCTGGAAACTGGATCCCAAGTTCACAGAGGCCTTCCTAGTGCTGGGGATGCCTGGGAGGAAGTGTGATGGAGGGGTTATGCGTGCATGCCCGGGGCTCACATGGTCTGATTGAGACTTCTGTTTTCATCCCAGCTCCGTCCCACTCCTACTAGCTACCTGGCAATTCTAGATTGGCAGGATCAGCATAGAACTTGTTAGAAATACAGGTTCTGGGGCTCTTACCCCTGACCAACAGAATCAGAAACACTAGGGAATTGGGGAGATGCAGAAGTCAGTCTTTAAAAGCCCTCCAGCTGATGTGATGCTCCCTGAAGTTTGAGAAGCATCTATTTAGGTTTGCAAATCCTAGTTTCCTCATCTAGTAAATAAGAGAGTGTCGTGAGGACCAAATCAGATAAATGTATTTTTACGCCTCCTCCTGGAGAACAATTAGCACTAGCTTTGCCTGGGAGGGAGAAATGCTAGTATGCCCGATTAAACAGTTGGTGCCATCTGCTGCCCCTTCGTGTGGTGTGGAGAGTCAGTACCTATGCAGACCTCTACTTTCCCAACCATAAAATGGGGCTAGACTGGGAAACGAGATAGATCCCCAGATCTATGGTTTTGTGATTATTGGATGCATTGTAACTCTGGTGGAACAGAATAACGGTGACAGAGACACCCACAGAACCCTGGACTTGCAGAGGGAAGGAAAAGAAGCAGTAGCATGTAGTCTCTTAAGTTCAGGAGAAGAAGACAGCGTTACGTGCCCCTCTTGGTGGCCCCACACTCCTCTCCCCGGTCTGGAGTTGCTTGGGCAAAATACCACAATTCATCCGATACAGCGCCACCTTCTGCCCAAATTGAATCACACCCGCAATTGCGCCTCCAGCTTCCATCCTTCTGAAATGGAAAAGTTCTTGGGGGAAAAATTTTGTGTAGGTCGGAGGTTCTTAGCCCAGGCAATAAGGGTCTCAAAATTGTATGCAAACCTTTGAAGCTGTGCATTCATGTGTCTGTATATTTTTCTAGGGATAGTGTCCATGATTAAATCTGATTTTGGGAGGCCTGAGGGTAGAGTGTAAAATGCTAAAGGCTAAACCCCTGAGTGTAGAGTGTAAAAATGACTCCTCTAGATTATTGAACACCCACACTCCTAGCCCTGATCTCACAAACAATACAAAGGGGTTGCACAGCATTGAAGAAGTGTCTGGTTTGCTGACAACCACATGCCTGGGATATTTTAGAGATATTTCACTCAAGCAGCGGTTTTTAAACTTGAACATGCACAAGAACCCCCTGGAAGAACGCAAAGTTCTGATTCAGCAGTTTGAGGTTGGGGCCCCAAAATCTGAATTTCTGACAAGTTCCCAGCTGCTGCTGCTGCGGCTGCTGCTGGGCTGGGGACCACACCTGAAGATCCCCTGCCCTAGAAGATCTTCCTACTGCTGTGTTTTGAGAAATGCCAGTCCTTACTGAGACTTGGAGAAAGCTCTCCCCTTATCCACCAGACTTGGTTCCAAATGTCTGTGGCTACTTCCAAACTTTTAAAGGAAAAAGCTTTCACGAGTATGTGTATCAGCTCTGAAAACAGTTTGCAAAGAGAGGTTCCCAAACTGCCCTGGGCATCGTCAGAGGAGAGGCCTTGGAGGCCAGTGCTTCCCTGTACAAGTCCTGCCAGGCTTGCCTAGAACTTCTCAGTCCTCCGAGCCAGAGCCAGCGTGTAGAGCAGCTCCTCTCTGCCCCACCCCTGGCCTGCTGAGAACGCAGCTGAATCTCCTGCACTGAACCATCCCCACACCCCACCGAGTAACCAAGAGTGGGAGGTGAGAGAATCAGGCTCTGAAATGGGGCTCCTTTGAGCATAAGCTCATTGTTGCATCCTGGAATTCTTCCCCTGCACTCCCCGTCCTAACTGGCTATGACCACCCCTGCCGCAAATAACACACACACACACACACACACACACACAGCCTGGTTTTCTCTTCCTAAAGGATTGCAGACTATACACCTCCATGACTGGGTGTGATGGTTCTGACAGTTCTCCCCGGCGTCTAACTGTAATCTCTCTGTCATTTAAAGTTTGTTTTCTCTGATTTCATCTCTTAGGGACAGCACAATGTGCCAGCTCCTTTCCACTCTCCTTTCCTTCCTCCCTCCATCACCCACATAAACCCGCATGAAAAATGATGGCTTTTAATCAACCGGCTGCTTGGTTTCTGTTGGGCCCATGGCCTGGTTTCTTTGGCGCACACCCTGACCTGTGCTCTGTCCAGCAGTTTGCCTCCTGAGGGTAACTGCCCACCAGGCAAGGAGGCCAGTAGCTACGTTAGGTAGACTGGCCAACGGAGGCACAGAGGAATGCCCGGACTTTTAACTTCTTTCCTCCGGGGCCTCCCAGCCCTTGCTCTTGGGCGCCCTCTTGTGGTTGGCGAGCCAAAGACCGCTAGGGGTGAGCGGCTCCGCGGACTTTGGGAGCCCTGCTCTCTCAGAAACCCCACTCTGAGGGGTGGTTTATGGGGCATCGAAGGTCGCTTTCCTGGCATCCTCTTCACAGGATGAGGAGGAGCCCAAGCCGGAGCTTCCTCCAGTGACTGTCAGAGCTGCAAACCCTCCTGTCTCAGGTTTGACCCTCCAGTCGCTCACAAGGGTTAGGTGGGGGAATGCCCCCCACCCTGTCACACCCCACAGGGAAATTGAGCCGTCAGCCCCTTCTCCCAGACACTTAAGGTCACTATTTTGGACAGAGCGGGGGATTTAGTGACAGTAATGATGGTGAATACCAGTCGCATTTTACTTGAACATCCCAAATCTTTATCACATTTTAATCACCAAAAAATAAAAATTAAAAAAATGCTCCTTATAACCAGTGAAACAAAAGACACATAAAGTTAACTATCTGTCCCTAACCTCCGTCTTCCCAGCCTCTTGAGATAGCCACTATAAAGATCCTGCTGTAAAGGGACAAATAGATGTATATTAGAGGTTTACATTAGTGTTAGTCTCTTAAAACGTATCAAGGATTCTCTCCATGTCAGTAGTTACCCATTTTACTCATTCTACTCGAGAGCAACATAGTGGGCTATAGCATGGATGTACTTGGTTTATTCAATGGTTCCATTTTTTTAATGGTTCCATTATTGGTAGACATCAGTGTGTTACCAGGCTTTGCTATTACAAATGGTACAGCAAAAATAGAGCCCTTTCACACTGGTGCCTTTATTGCTATAAGGTAGATCCTCTGGCATGAAATTGCTGGTTCAAAGTGTATATTGATTTTAAAATAGATTTTAAATAGATATTGATGATTTGGGGCCAACATTGCTAGCCCGGCAGGGTTGTGATTCACATTCCGGTCAACCGAGTGTTCGAGGACCCACCTTGTAGCATCCTTGCCAGCCCTGAGTATGTTCTCTCCTGGAATGTTGTCTATCTAATTGATGAATTAGAACTACCCTGCTTTTATTTACATTTGAGGATCTTTTTATCTGTTTAGATTTTACTTTGTCCTCTGTGAAATCTTCCTGCATACTGAGGTGTACATTTTGAGCTGTGGGAGCTCCTTTTTTATTGTTCATGTTTGCTTATGGTATCTTTGCCATACAGACATTTTAAATGTTTGTACAATCAAA